CTTAAGATAAGAACTCAAGTGTTGGAGAATTCCAGGAAAGACTTTTTTTTTCCCCCCGAGACAAGGTCTCACTCAGTTGCTCAGGCTGCAGTGCAATGCAGTGCAGTGGTGTGAGCTCAGCTCACCACAATCTTCACCTCCTGGGTTCAAGCGATTCTCCTGTTTCAGCTTCCTAAGTAGCTGGGATTACAGGCATGCGCCACTACACCTGGCTAATTTTTGTTTTGTTTGTTTTTTGATATGGAGTTTCACTCTGTCACCCAGGCTGGAGTGCAAGGGCACGATCTTGGCTCACTGCAACCTCTGCCTCCTGGGTTCAAGCAATTCTCCTGCCTCAGCCTCCCAAGGAGCTGGGATTACAGGCACCCACCACCACACCTAGCTAATTTTTATTTTCTGTAGAGATCTGGTTTCACCTTTTGGCCAGGCTGGTCTTGAACTCCTGACCTTAGGTGATCCACCCACCTCAGCCTCCCAAAGTGCTGGGATTACAGGCGTGAGCCACTGTGCCCAGCCCAATCTTGCTTTCATATCCTACCATGACCACTTACCCTGTATTTCAAAGTCTTCATCTTTAAAATGGGGGGGAATATCTCATATTTAGCTATTAAGAGGAAGATAAAAATATACATAACGTGTCCGATGCCAATCCCACCACTTAGCAATAACTGCTGGATATCTCTTAGTATTCTCTACCTCCTTTTTCCAGAGTGCTTTCATTATGCCTAGCTCAGCTTGTAACAAAGAAATAAATTTTCCTTGGAATTTTTCAGGGCACAAAGAAGAGGTTCAAATCTTTTTACCTTGAAGATTTTAAGGACAATATAATTAAAATGGGATAGTTATAAGGACTCCAGGTATGCACAAGGCCATTCCTTGGACCATGATATCTGATTACTTTTCTTACAGAAGCTAGAAAGTAAGAGGCTTCATTAACTACCTCATGTGATGTGAGAACTGACCACTCTGGAGGGAAGCTGTTACTCAACAAACATTCTCAGCACTCTTAAGGGCTAAACACATAGAAAACGATTGTGGCCAGGCAGTCACATGGACCCTGTCCTTTGCAACGGAGGTAAGCAAAACATGAGCAACAGTCATGTATAAATTAAGATCTGATATCACTTTCCGAATCAGCAGCAAACAAACCAAAGAACTAGAAATTATCTCACATAAGTTTTGACATTTGTTACCAGTAGTTACATTGACAAAATTAAGTGTATGGAAAGAAATATCTAAATATACACTAATTTTATTAAGTTATAATTTTTCCATATTTAAAATTGACAGGCTGGGCACAGTGGCACACGCCTGCAATCCCAACATTTTGGGAGGCCGAGACAGGAAGATTGCTTGAGGCCAGGAGTTCAAGACCAGCTTGGGCAACACAGCAAGACCCCAACTCTACAAAAAGTTTTTGAAAAAATTAGCTGGGCATGGTAGTGCAAACCTGTAGTCCCAGCTACTGTGGAGGGCTCAGGCAGGAGGATCCCTTGAGTGTGAGCAACAGAATACGACCCTGTCTCTTAAAGAAAAATTGACCAAAAAACCCTGATGAAACAAACTTACTCAGAGTTCAAAGACTAGCTATTTTCTTTTAGTGGAAGTACAATTTTTCTTTTGACAAACTTCAATAACCAATTAGAATCCACTACCTCTGTGATACATATTAAAATGAATATTTCAAACTAGTCTCTTCCAGATCTTAAAAATTCACTGTGAGGAATTTCTAAGGCCCTTACTGCCAAACCTAACATAAAAGAATCAATACTGGAGCAGAGGTAATAAATGCTAACACAGAATCTACAGTTCAATATAGATGAGAACCACATTGAAATGAACATGATGAGTACAATATGGCAGCATTGGTAGAAACAGGTCTTGATATCAAAATAACTAGTGATTCATAAGGTATTTAAGTCACTGACCTAAGTAATTACCTAACTATCTCAGCTTAGGCTTATTTATCTGTAAAATTGGAAAACCCATCTTACTAAGTTCCGAGGATGTTCTGAGGACACATGATTACAAATCCATGTACTGTGATGAGTCCTTATACAATGAATTTGGATGACACTACGATGTCATTAGACACAGCTTACTGCATTACTAATTCTGAGTATAGAAAAAGAAAAAGCTTGTATAATACTAGCGAAATTTTCAAAGACATTCAAATTATAGCATTGAGAACTATCTCTCATCTTGAGTCAACTAGATACTAAGTTAGGTGTTCTCACACAAAAGAATGTCAGAATTTTCATAGCCAGGCGTGGTGGCACATGCCTGTAATCCCAGCTACTCAGGAGGCTGAGGCAGGGAACTGCTTGAACCCAGGAGGCGGAGGTCGCAGTGAACCCAGATCGCATCACTGCACTCTAGCCTGGGCGAAAGAATGAGACTCTGTCTCAAAAAAAAAAAAAAAAAGAATGTCAGAATTTTCAAAAACCCCATCTTATAAAACTGTGAGTGACAATTCTGAGTGCCAGAGGCCTGTAATTGGTACTGATTCAAGTAACTGTCAATGTCTGTCCTACTGTTACCTTCCAATAAACAACTATGCTGGAAATCAAATCTTTCAAGACTCAAATGGTTTAAGAATTCAAGGTGTCGGCCGGGCATGGTGGCTCACACCGGTAATCCCAGCACTTTGGGAGGCCAAGGCGGGCAGATCACGAGGTCAGGAGATTGAGACCATCTGGCCAACATGGTGAAACCCTGTATCTACTAAAAATACAAAAATTAGCTGGGTGTGGTGGTGCGTGCCTGAAATACCAGTTACTCGGGAGGCTGAGGCAGAAGAATCGCTTAAACCAGGGAGTAGGAGGTTGCAGTGACCTGAGATCGCTCCACTGCACTCTAGTCTGGTGACAGAGAGAGACTCCGTCTCAAAAAAAAAAAAAAAAAAAAAAAATTCAAGATGCCAAATTTCTGACACTTGCCCACATAAATTTTATGGCTGGAATATGGAGTTACACTAGCCTGCTTAAAATGACTGTGTGTCGACATTCAATCCGTTTTATAAAGAGGAGAATTTAAATAGTATTGCCACCATTTAACTAAGTTTTCCTAAACTGGTAGTGATTCTGCAGTTCCATCTGCAATTGTCACCCAGTTTCAGTCTCCTCATAAAACACTACACATTTGTGGGGCAGTTGGCAGGGGTTATGCTGCTGCCAAACAAAGTGAAGCTACCTAGAACTGAACCAATGGTCATTTGGCAAGGACACCTGAACTCTGAAGCACTTTGTAAACAGCTGAATATTTCTAGTAATACTCCTATGAAGTTTCAGTACTGAGCCATCCATTATATTTCATTGCAAACTATTTGTCGCCTTAAAAACAAGAAAACGGCAAGACAGTTTCCTGGCTGAGTCAGAGTCTCGATCAGTCGCCCAGGTCGGAGTGCACAATCTCGGCTCACTGCAACCTCCACCTCCCGGACTCAAGCGATCCTGCCACCTCAGCCTCCCCAGTAGCTGAGACCACAGGTTGGCGCCACCACGCCCGGCTATTTTTGTTTTTTTTTTTGTAGACACCGGGTTTCGCCATGTTGCCCAGGCTGGTCTCGAACTCCTGAGCTCAAGTCATTCACCGGCCTCTGCCTCTCAAAGTGCTAGGATTACAGGCATGAGCCACGGCACATGGCCAGTTCCCTGGTTTAAAAAAACTCACAAATGTAGTCCAATTAGTCTTAAGCGTAAATAACTCTTACCTACCACCTGGGGCAAGACCCAACTTAAAACTGGGAGGGGCGCCTCTCAACAGTTAACCTCGTACCAGTGATTTCGTCTGAGAATCTTAGGCTTTTAAAGCTCAAGTCCAAACCTTTATTCTACAAATAGATTTTAAAGTAAGGGCTTATGGTCTGGTTACAATCGCTAATTCTTGCACTGTACTATGTACTTAGTACAGTTATAAGTGCTTTACACCTATTTACTCCTTTAATCCTCCCAACGAACCTGAAGCAGAGTGAAGTCAAGTAGTTTGCCCAAGATAACACAGCTATCAAGTGACGAGGTTAGAATTCAAATCCAAGCAGCAAAGCTTCAGAACCTATAGTCTTAAACCACCAGACTCTACTGCTCTACTAGGGCTCAGAGTTCTAATGCGAGAAACGAATCCTCTATAGTGCTTTTCCTCAATCCTACCATCGCAAAGAATTGCAAACCTTTGACTCAGAAGTTCTTCCTGCGTGCATCCTTAAGTAATCTGACTTTTGCATCCAAAATGGGTAACCTCTCTGGAAAACTAAAAGATGCAATGGCCAGTCTGAAAAGAACTCATGTTTCCCGTTAGTGGGATTCTGTTTTGTTGTTGTTGTTTTATTGCAACACCTGAAACGCCTTAAAACACAAGTAAACAGGCTATCAGCCATTTTCCTGAGAACAGCAAACACCTATTACACTTTCATGATGCCTAAATTGATGAATCTGAGCTGAAAACAGGAACGGCTGTCTTTTTCCCAGCTGTCTCTAATATATTTGGAAGAAGGTAGACTCAGTTTATGCATGTGAAAGTATGTGAGAAATCAGGGGGAAGTGGGGGGTGAGGAGGCTATTCATTCCTCCATCTCTCCAAAGCGTGGCGACTTAGACTCAGACCCTCCTGCTAGAACTCAAAACCAGTATCACACACCATTTCTGCCTTGGACGGCTTCAGTGCCTCTCCAGGCTGCAGGGAGGTGGCTACGTGGCGCTAGGAGGACTTCCCCCAGCCAGAGAGGAGGTGGCAGCCCCAGCTGGTGGCATCCCCTCGCCCGGGGCCCCGCGGCAGGGGGCGCCAGGAGCTTCCCGGGGATCCCCTAAGAGGGCTAAGTCTGAAGTGACTGGCCTGGAGCCGCAGCTGGGCCAGGGCCTGCCTAGCACCCCCTCACAGCCTCTGCGACCACCCCTGCCAAACCAACCTCCCAGCCTCAAGGGTTAGCCGACTCGCCGGGGCCGGCACCGGGCTCCTGAGGCAAAAGCACCCAAGACGGACGCTATATTCTGTGGGACACTCACCAGGTTGAGGGGTCCTTCCATTACTTCCATAGACCCCGGGGTAAGCGGCGGCCTTAGGAAGGGGAGTAGTGGCGCCGGGGAACATGGAGGGGACTGCTGGGGAGCGCAACGCAGCCGCAGAGACTGCGGCCCCTCTCTGCGCCCCAAGAGCCAGCGGTAGGCGCTGAGCGAGCAACAACCTCACCACTTCCTCCTCCGGCGCCGCGCCGCGGGCCCGCCCCCTGCGCCACCGCCGCGGCCACGCACGGCGCCATGACGTCACACGCGCAAAAGGCTGGTTCCAGGTGGGAGTGAGGACAGGCAGTGGGTGGGGCCCAGGGAAGGTGGGGCACCAGCTGGCGTACGCTTGCGAGCAGTCAGTCTTTCCTCTCACGAGAAGCGTTAGTTCATATCTTAAAGTCTACTCTGACGTCACGTGAGGGGGGTATAGCCTTGTTGTTGAAGAATTGAAATGGCTGTCTTCTGCAACTGGCTTCTCACTTTTCCTTTTAGACTGACTTTTCCTTAAATCTGCTCATCGTTACACCCTTACTTGTACTCCCATCCACACCTTTATCCTTGTACAGGATTCATTTTTCCAAAAGGCTGATTTGAGCAATTCTAGACCATGCACTGGACTAACCCCCCTAGAGGTCCGCAAGCTTGAATGATTTAGGGCTCTGCCCTCAAGTTGCTCACAAACTGATAGGGAAAATGATTTTGGTCTAGCCAAATACAACACTTGCTTCATTTAACAAGTATCTGCCAAACCAAAGCTAAGTCTTTCTGTCATGGAATTCACTGACAAATAGTTGTGATTTATGCTGGAAAGGGAACACATAGGGAGCTGTGATACAGTAACCAAGATGGAGTTGGGTGGTAAAGGAAAGCCTCTGGGGAGGGCGTGTGTTTTTTGTGAGAAGGGGTCTTGCTGATGCAATCTCCACTCACTGTGACCTCCCTCTGCCCGCCCCCTGCCCCAGGCGATCCTCCCACCTCAGCCTCTTAAGTAGCTAGGAACTACAAGTGTCCAGGCCAGGTTAATTTTTGTATTTTTTGTAGAGATGGGGTTTCACCGTGTTGCCTATGCTGGTCTTGAACTCCTGAGCTCAAGTGAGCTCGAATGATCCGCCCTCCTGGACCTCACAAACTGATGGGATTATAGGCATGAGCTACCGCACCTGGCTAAGGGTGTAATCTTTAAGATGAAACCTTAAAATGCCAGTTAAACAAAGACACTTATCGACAAAGGAAATGTCTTATGCCTCAACTTTAAAGGCAGGGAGGTGGGGTTGGGAGAGCTACAGCATTGTTAGGATGTAAGAGAGAGGCAAAAGAAGATACCAGAGAGATAGGAAACTTCCAAAATATAGGTGGCCTTGTAGTGCACAATGAAACATTTGAATTTTACTCAAAGTGCATTGGGAAATAAGTAAAGGATATTAAGCTAGAGAATAATCTGCTTTAATTTACAGTTTTGAAAAAATTAATGTCCCTGTAATGTGAAGAATAGATTGTGGAAGGTCTAAGGGAAAAGAACCAAGACAAGCTAGTTGATTGACTAATTATGGGAGCTTAGACTGGAATGGAGGTAGGGAAGATTCCATCATGCATCCACTCTTTACATAGTTATTGTATTTCTACCATGTATCAGAAATTTTGGAAGAGAAGTAGATATATTCAAGATATATTTTTGGGCATCAAGTTGAGCAGAGTTGGTGAGGGACTGGAAGTAAAGCATACAGAAAATAGAAGAATCAAATCTTGTATTTAAACAACCAAGTGGCCTGGTGCACTGGCTCACACATGTAATCCCAGCACTTTGGGAGGTCGAGGACAGCAGATCACTTGAGGCCAGGACTTCAAGACCACCCTGGCCAACACGGTGAAACTTCGTTTCTACTAAAAACACTAAAACTTAGCTGAGTGTGGTGGTGCATGCCTGTAATTCCAGCTACTGGGGAGGCTGAGGCAGGAGAATTGCTTGAACCCAGGAGGCAGAGGTTGCAGTGAGCTGAAATCAATCACACCACTGCATTCCAGCCTGGGCGGCACAGAGAGACTCTGTCTCCAAAAATAAAAAAATTAAAAAAGTAAACAACCAAGTAGACAAGATAGTGAGAGATAGGACTAGCTGGATTTCCTAGGCCAACTAAGAATTCCTAAGCCTAGCTGGGGAAGGTGACCGCACCCACCTTTAAACACAGGGCTTGTAACTCAGCTCACACCTGATCAATCAGGTAGTAAAGAGGGCTCACTAAAATACAAATTAGGCTAAAGCAGGAGATAAAGAAATAGTCAAATCATATATCGCCTGAGAGCACAGGTGGAGGGACAATGATCGGGATATAAACCCAGGCATTTGAGCAGGGAGTGGCAACCCCCTTTGGGTCTCCTCCCATTGTATGAGAGCTCTGTTTTCACTCTATGAAATCTTGCAACTGCACTTCTGGTCCATGTTTGTTACAGCTTGAGCTGAGCTTTCGCTCGCTGTCCATCACTGCTGTTTGCTGCCGTGGCAGACCTGCCGCTGACTTCCACCCCTCTAGATCCAGCAGGGTGTTCACCGTGCTGCTGATCCAGTGAGGTGCCCACTGCCCGCTCGTGATTGGGCTAGAGGCTCACCATTGTTCCTGCACGGCTAAGGGCCTAGGATTCGTCCTAACCAAGAGGGAGTCTGATCAGTTGGTTGGGGGCCTCAGGATTTTATTTTTCTCACCTCTTTTTTCATCACACCTCAGGCCAGTTAACTGTGTCTGAGAGGTAGGTGGTGATGTCAATGCTTACAGTGGGATATGGCCAAACTGCAGGTCTAGGATAACATTTGGCTTATGCTACTGCTCAGAGTCTGGTTTTTAGGTCTCCACTGAAAGAATCAGAAGATGTAGTCGGTGAATTCTGGACATACAGGTCTCCCATAAACTGTCATTCACTCTCCCCGAGTTTCCTCGGTGGTAGTAGGTTAGTACTAACCCTACCTCCACCAGACCTGAGGCCCAGCTCAAAATGGCACTGCCTCCATGGTCTTCTGTGGCCCAACATCTAAAAGAAACCTCTGCTCCCTTGGCACTACCTTTACTTCCCTTCAACATTACTTTTTGCCTTATTTATAATTTCATACCTCAAATGGGTACTCAGCATTACCCACAAAATAAATGGTTTCTCTCTTAGGTTGACTTTCCCACTCTGAGGCTTTCTTTTGTTAAGTTTAGTGTAAAGCTGCCTCTTACATACTTTAAGTTTGGCCTAAGGTTTCTCCGTAGTGAACTGTAACCTCACTGGATGTGTAAACAAACTATAACCCACTCTTGTAACAAGCAGCTGAGTCTCAGCCAATCACCACAGCCATACTTCAACCATTCACAGGTGGCCAACCGTTCGAACTGTGTTCAAGGTAAACACCCAAACTTTAACCAATCCACCTGTTTCTGCACCTCTTTCCTATTTTCTGTACATCACTTTCCTTTTTCTGTCCATAAATTTTCTCCCACCACACAGCAGTAGTACAGTCTCTCTGAATTTATTCTGGATCAGGGGGTCTGCCTGATTCAAGAATCATTCTTTGCTCAATTAAATTGTTTTAATTTGTCTTAAGTTTTCCTTTTAACGTTTTTTAGATAAACTCTATCCCCTCTGTTCTCAGTTAATAATTTTACTTCATGCTTCATTTTTTTTCTTTTTTTCTTTCTTCTTCTTTTTGTTTTAATTATACTTGAAGTTCTAGGGTACATGTGCACAACGTGTAGGTTTGATACTTAGGTATACATGTGCCATGTTGGTTTGTCGCACCCGCTTCATTTTTTTTTTAAATCAGTAATTGGGCCAGGTGTGGTGGCTCATTCCTGTAATGCCAGCACTTTGGGAGGCTGAGGCAGGTGGATCACCTGAGGTCAAGAGTGCAAGACCAGCCTGGCCAACATGGGAAACCCTGTCTCTACTAAAAAATACAAAAAAGTGTCTAGACAAGGTGGCTCATGCCTGTAATCCTAGCACTTTGGGAGGCCGAGGTGGGTGGATCACCTGAAGTCAGGAGTTCGAGACCAGCCTGGCCAACATGGTGAAACCCCATCTCTGCTAAAAATACAAAAAAAAAAAATTAGCCATGCATGGTGGCACACACCTGTAATCCCAACTACTGGGGAGGCTGAAGTAGAAGAATCACCCCTGGGAGGCGGAGGTTGCAATGAGCTGAGATTGGGCCACTGTACTCCAGCCTGGGCAACAAAAGCAAAAGTTCATCCAAAAAAAAAAGCAGTAATTGGCTTCAAATCCCCACATTTTCTCCATAAGTACACAAGTACTTTCATATGTTCATCTTTTCTTTTTCCTACTTGTTAAAATGGAGCAAGCATCCTTCCTTCCCATGGCCAGTTTCTGTACTTGGGCTCTGAATTCCATTCCTCATTCATATTCTCAAGGAACTTCATTGATACAGTCATCCTATCTACATCACCTATTGTCTTCCTATTGCATATTTTTATGTATCTCACTTTGATTCCTTCCACTATTGTCCCATTTTTATCCTCTATGGAATGTCTTGGATTTCCTTACTTCACTGGCTCTGCCTTCCTCTTCTCCCATATGTCTAATTGCTGGCTCCTCAGCAGCAGTTCTAGGTCTGCTGCTCTTTTCTGCAGCGGAAAATGAAATGTGACCAGGCGCTGTGGCTCACGCCTGTAATCCCAGCACTTTGGGAGGCCAAGGCGGGCAGATCATCTGATGTCAGGAGTTTGAGACCAGCCTGGCCAACATAGTGAAACTGCGTCTCTACTAAATATCCAAAAAAAAAAAAAAAAAAAAAAAAAAAAAAAAAAATTAGGTGTGGTGGCACATGCCTGTAGTCCCAACTACTCAGGCAGGCTGAGGCAGGAGAACTGCTTGAACCCGGCAGGCAGAAGTTGCAGTGAGTCAAGATCCTACCATTGCACTCCAGCCTGATCAACAGAGGGAGACTCTGTCTCAAAAATTTAAAAAAAAAAAATAAAAGAAAATTAAATGTTCTCCCTATTAAAATTAACGTCTTTACCTCGACCAAGCTTGTCCAACCCACAGCCCACAGGCCACATGTGACCCAGGGCAGCTTTGAATGTGGCCCAATACAAATTTGTAAACTTAAAACATTATGAGGTATGTATAATTTTTTTGTTTTTTGCTCATCAGCTATCATTAGTGCATTTTATGTGTGGCCCAAGACCTTTCCATGTGGCCCAGGGAAGTCAAAAGATTGGACATCCCTGACTCAGACCTTTCCTGAGTTTCAGTCTTGTATA